GTTGCTAGGTTGTTGCTATGCGGTTGCTAGGGTACCCGGTGTGGTTGCTAAGGTGTTGATATGCGGATGCTAGGGTACCCTGGTTAGTTGCTAGGGTGTTGCTATATGGTTGCTAGGGTACCTAGGGCAGTTGCTAGGTTGTTGCTATGCGCTTGCTAGGGTACCCGGGGCGGTTGCTTAGCTGTTGCTATGCGGTTGCTAAGTTATTTGGGTGGTTGCTAGGGTGTTGCTATGCGGTTGCGGGGCGGTTGGGGCGGTTGCTAAGGTGTTGCTATGCGCTTGCTAAGGTACTTGGGCTGGTTGATAGGGTCGGTTGCTAGGGTTGCTAGGGTACCCAGGGCGGTTGCTAGGTTGGCTTGGAGAGTTGCTAGAGTGTTGCTATGATAGATAGATGGATGGATGGATGGATGGATGGATAGATAGATAGATAGAAACAAATAGTCAGATAGATAGTCAGACAGATAGATAGATAAATATATATAGGGTGCGCGGGGTGGTTGGTAAGGTGTTACTATGCGGTTGCTAGGGTACCCGGGCGGTTGCTAAGGTGTTGCTATGCGGTTGCTAGGGTACCCTGGGTGGTTGCTAAGGTGTTACTATGCGGTTGCTAGGGTACCCGGGCGGTTGCTAAGGTGTTGCTGTACGGTTGCTAGAGTACCCGGGTGGTTGCTAAGGTGTTGCTATGCGGTTGCTAGGGGTACCCAGGTGGTTGCTAAGGTGTTACTATGCGGTTGCTAGGGTACCCTGGGTGGTTGCTAGGTTGGTTTGGATAGTTGCTAGAGTGTTGCTCTGAAGATAGATAGATAGATAGATGGGCGGGGCCAGCAGAGCTCATTAACATTTAAAGCAACATGAACTATAATGGCTTGATAAAAACAGAGCTGATTTTGACAGGTTTAAAAAGGTGTTTTTTACACTACCATTGAGACATTTTAACCAAAGTATGTTATAGACTTTTAATTAAGACCCTAAAGAATCATATCAACTTGTGCAAAATGGGCATCCGATGACCTCTTTAATATAAATAGAACGTTCCCTTTAGGTTAGGAAAACATGATAAGTTTTAATTAGTTTACATGGTTATGACAACTAAAAATAACCTGCAGGGAACGTTCTGGGAACGTTCTCTCTAGGTTATAAAATTAAACCTAAAAATAACCTGCAGGGAATGTTCTGGGAATGTTCTCTTTAGGTTATTAAAAAAGAACCTACAGGGAACATTCCTAGAATGTTATTTGGTTCCCAAAAAAATAACCAAATTGGGAACGTTACGGGAACGTTGTGTTTGTTGGGATTATTTTGATGACGTAAAATGGTTGCACTCAGTGAGCTACGGGTGCTACCTGTTGCTATTTTTACCACAACACAACTCGGAATACACAACTCGGAAAATAAAACACTGGTATGATGACTAGAGATGCACCGATTGCAATTTTCTTGGCCGATTCCGATTTCCTATTTTTTGGAATTGTGACCTGCCGATACCGACTTTTGCCGATTCCGATTTTCTTTCTAAGAAATAAAATTGACAGCATATAC